CTGATGTATCCCAGTTCACTGAACTGCAACTACCATCTACCCTGCTGTTATAACATCTCATCATAATTTTGATTTCACGTCTCTCATCTCTAACATCTCAAATGTGTCATGAATCTCTCCAGTTCTCAACAATTTTACTATCATTAATCCAAGCCATCCATCAAGTCTCCAACAAGGCTTGTCACCTCCCAAACTCAACCCTCCAAGTTCACACACACACACACACACACACACACACACACACACACACACACACTAGCTAACAGTTTTCAAATCTAGGCATGATCTTTTCAGTCTGGAGATTCAAATCTTCCAGTAATATTTCATCCCTCAGGATTAAGGTTGAATCCTTTAAGGTGAGTCGCACATGCAAGGTGGTCTCCATTCTCCTCCAGACTCCTCTCCTGCAATTGTTTCTTGCTGCCTTTCTCTTTCCCCTGCAGGGTCTGGTCATAGTTAAAACTGGTGATATTTTTGGCTCCTGGTCGCTAGTCCATGGGTGGCCTCACAGTAATAATGAAGAGCCAGATTGGTATGAGAGAAAAAGAAAAAGCAGGCCAAAGTAATTTCTATCAAGTCTATAGCAGGCAGATGTTCTTGTATAGGCAATGTAGGAAAAAGGAAACACAAAGATGACTTTGGAGGACTGGTTAGAAAAGAGAATGCATTTTTGTGTGTTTTCACCAAGCTATGGGCTCCTCTGGATTTTAATATTATAGTGGGGTCAAAACAAGAATTTCCTCCATTGTCAGCTTTACACAGATGCAAAGCCGGTGCTCAGGAAGCTGGGAGATTGATGAATAGTTGGTTTGATGTATTTTATCCATTCAGCACTTTGAGTTAAATGTGCATATTCTGTTCAGAATAGACAATAGGGAGGGGCGGTCCCCCTTTCCCTCTCTAACTTGCATAACATCAGGCCTCACTGCTTTAACTAATGAGTGTTTAGAAGTCAAAGCTCCTACTGATTCCAGGGTGTCATTAATTCTCTGCTTGCAGAGCCACTGTGGAGTTTTTCATAGGCCACATTTCTTAGCTATTATCAGTTATTTCTGAGCAGCAGAGCTGACCCCTGGGTTCCTGTGTGTGTCATACACCAGTCATACAATAGGTCCTAAAGTTCCCTGGGAAGGAATTTTACTGAGGACCAGGAAACAGATGCAAAAAAGGTGCCCATGCTGGCTACTCAGTGACAAAGGTGTCTCAGAATTGTTACTTTGGGGGAACTTAATTAACATGGAGTAAGAATGTATATTTAAACCAACATATAACCTGGTACAAGGCAGGCAGAGGCAAACTGCAAGATTCTCTTAAACTAATCACACAGTCAGTGCAACCCTTTGTAACAATGATGTTTGCTCCATTATTGCTCCAGGTTGATTATTTGCTCAATAGCTTCATTGATCTTGCCTCAGTAGGCTTTCCAGTTTTTACACATTACATTCTCTTGGGAATTGAAAAGCACTGTGTGTCTGAAGATGCTCAGTCAACTTGAAAAGACTCATTTTTGAAAAGGTCTTAACCTGCTTTCAGCTTAAAGCAATTCAGTCTTTGGCCAAGCAAACACAAGGGCTAAGAAGGATGTATCACTAGGATCTGCAGGTTTACCATCACTTGGAAGCTGTTTGTCTGAAAGGTCATTCACAGAACAATGTTGAAGGATATTCAAAATCCAGGGATCTATACTAATAACTAAAGAGAATACACATACCATTAAGATCATGACATATTATTATTGGATGTATTTTACATTATTCAAAATAATAAATATTTTGTGGGGAAACCTGACGAGTTCATTAAGACTCCAGGCATTGAACTCATAGCTAAAAAGTTTATAATGCATGGAAAAAGGGCAAGATGAAGAAAGGAAGCAGCTGAAAAGGTTAGGAAAGCAGCTCTCATCCAAATTGAGATAAGGTCAAGTTAGAAAAGCAAGATTTTTTTCCTTTTTCTTTCTTTCTTTTTTTTTTTTCTTTGTATTTTGTTTGTATTGTTTTTGATAACCTGAGGTCTCATTTTACTTACAAATTATTCCCTGCTATTTATAGGAAGGGCAATTTATATATCCTAAACTTGTGGTTGAGGCATCCAGAAAGCATAGAAGCTCTATAACCCCAAAGAATAAATTCAGCAGCATTTTATAAAAATTATCAACATTATACATGACATTAATTGAATCAAAGGCAATATATAGAAAAAAGAGTTTCAACTAGTATAAGCTCAAAAGTTATAGTGTTCTTTGCTTCTTCTCTAATGTCTAAACGCTTAACCATTTTAGTAATTGCTAAGCCAACCATTAGAGATGGTTAGGTAATAGGTTTTTTAAAAAGACAATGAAAAGGCCAATTAATACTGCAACTTAGTCATCTTCTGACAATAACCATACTTCACATAGTGACTCAGCAAGACATTACTGTGAACTTCAACAGCTTTTGATGATTTGTACAGAGACATGACTTGATTTGGACTCCCAAATAACTTTATCAATCATTCCCAAGACTCCAAGAATACTAATAAACAATTAGTTCATAGGACAAAAGTTTGCTTCTATTAACCTTCAGTTCACCCTGACATCCACAAGTAACACTTGCTTTCCATGGCAGGAAGAATATGTTGGGAGTTAAAAATAGGTCTATGCAAAGGTTAAGAAACTTTAAAACTATTACCTTGGAAGAATGACACTTGCTAGAGTTTTTCTTTTCCAGAAGGAAAGAGGAGAGGTAGAAACGCTGGTCCTCCTCTCCATCTGCCCTAAAGATTTGAGTCACACAGTTTATTTGTGTTGAAATTGGTTATATGCTGCTTGAAACCTAAGCAGAAATACATCAGCATTTTGGGACCACCTGGGACCAAGGGGAGCTGGGAAAGTTCCAACTAGAGTGTAAGACTGTTCATTGATATTTACATAATGAGAATAAATGTTTTTCCTAAGATAGCATTTCCCTTTAGTGTCCTCAGACCACCAGCAAGAGAGGGAGGAATAGAAATTCTATTGCATTAATAGTCTTTGTTTTTATGGCTTTGGCATTTATTAACTAGTGGGAGCTGTTTATTGGGTCATAAACTTTACTAATGGGGATATTATCTCTAAATTATAAATCTCCCTCAGTATACAGCTTAGTTATAAAACAAATAATTATTTAAAGTGTCTGTATGGCTGCAATGTATCATGTTTATCAGCATGATTCCTATAATGGCCATTTTAATGCTAATTGTGAGCTTGAACCAGGAACCACCAGGGCAGGACACAGAGATCCATGAAACAGAATGAATAGTCGTCACCCTATGAACTCAGGAACAGTCTTATTGGTTTACTTCCTGCATCTCAAATGAATTACATCACAAGCCTCTCCAAGGACTAAATTATCTATCCAGTTAAAAACTCAAGAGAAAGACAATTGAGTGAAGGGTTGAATAATAGGTGACAGATGTGTCAGCTTGAAAACTTCTAGGCAAGTGTCATACCTTCTAAAAGCTTGCTCTCTGGGAAGTGGAGAAATATTACAATGATAAAATAGCTTGGCATTGTTGGTTGTCTTTTTTAAAAACTGGGACAAAAATCAAGTCATAAAAATTAGAGTTTTATGGGCCCACTGTTCTTGTATCTAACTAGTGAATACTAGTTTAATGCAAAGCTCTATGGGGTCAGTTCTAATGGTGCACATGAAACTGTCCTAGGCTTATGAAGAGAGGTAGTTTACTGACTAGTTTTGATTGGAAGAAAATGAAAGAGCCATTGTCGTCAAGTAAACTGGATCATATATGTAGAAGCCAACCCATCTGGGGACAACGGGATGCTGCAAATGTAAGTGAATGAATAAGCTAGGAGGGGACCCTGAAATGTCCTTGGCTCCTCTTCTCCCCAGGATGACCCACAACTAGCATAGTCCCTTTTTGACAGACTCCCACTGCCTCTGAGACAGATTTATGATGAGTGCCTGGCGATGGGGTCTGGCATGGCCTAGAGAAGAATTCTGGCAACTGAAACTCCATGGTGATAGGTTGTACTCAGACACACACTATATGATAAGAGTTCTGTTGTGTGAGGGAAGCAAATCAAACCAGGGAAATGCAGGAGAGATCCACTGTAATTTTAAACTACTTAAACCTTTGGTCTAGAGGTTGAGAGGCTGGCAATATGTATGTAAAACACACCAAAACCAACTCTTAAAACCTTCTGCAATCCCAGCCCTAAATATTTCAGGCCCATTTAGGCATAATACATTTTTTGGTCATGCTCTAATTATATACACATGTATATATTCCTAAGCTAAGAAGCTGATTTTAGATATAAAATGACACTAAAAATATAAACAGCACATTTCAATTTTTCTTTCCCTTTCTCTCTCTTTCTTCTCTCTCTCTCTCTCTCTCTCTCTCTCTCTCTTTGTGTGTGTGTATGTGAGTGTTGGCAGAGAGAAAGTCTTGTGTGTGTCTGTGTGTGTGTGTGTGAGTGTGTGTGTGAGAGTGTGTGTGTGAGTGTGTGTGTTTGTGTGTTGGCAGAGAGAAGGGTTTTTTTCCCATAACTTCACTAACTTCTGAAAATAAACACACTCACTCTAGAGAGGTTTAAGAATTACTTTTGATGAGGTGTGTTCCTACAAAAGTTCATTATGTAAGTAATAAACATGTGTCAAAAGGATTTCAAAAATGCTTAACAGAATCACAGCTTATTGCTCGGATATAATTTGATTTTATATTGTCGTGCATAGCTGTCAAAAGTCATTTTCTTTTCACATTGCAATGAATCAAATTATATTAGATGGAAATTATTGCAAGATTCTTTGGTATTCATAAATAATGCATACAATAAAAATGGTTGACATTGTTTTAAATGGTATTTTTAATAGTGCTGGTACATCAGCAATATAACAGGCTGCTCTGAAGAGCTACAGTGACAATAGAAAATTAAATGTGGTTTATGGATTTCCATTTAATAAAACCTTGTTTCTTTTTTGTTTTTAATGAAATTATATCTATTAAAATAAACATGGAAAAATTAGAGCAGCAAATCAAAAAGTGTTGATCAAGACTTTCATGGTCATTTCTCCTCTAAGCCATACACGTCCTTCAAAAAGTCTAAGTACCTAACGTATTTCACAGGGATAGGTGATGGCATTCCCACCCAAACGTCTTCACATTTCTGGAAAGAAAACAAAGGTGGACACAATTAGAACCACATTTCAAAGTTCAGTTTTGAAATTTCAGTGCTATATTGTTTTGTTTTCTTTAGCTTTTTAATCTTTCAATAAACTTTTGGTGAAGTTACTAGGGTATGGGGATATGGATGATGCAGTGGGAAAGAACACTTACTGCTCTTACAGAGGACCCATGTTTGGTTCTCAGCACAAATACATGGTTGCTCACAACTGCCCATAACTCTAGTTCCAGGGGACCCAAGACTATCTGAACTTCATGGGCCACTACATACATATAGTGTACATGCTTACCCTAAGATACACACACACACACACACACACACACACACACACACACACACACACACAATTCATTTAAAATAAAAGAGAAGAGATATCAGATATCAGAAGGTCTTTGAGGAAGAAAATATTTTAATTTTTATTTTTTTACTTCCTACATTAGAATTATGTGTTCCCAATCTTTACCATGTAACTGCAACCCCTTCTATGGAGAAAGAAAAGGAAGAAAGGATAGATGAATGAAAGCGGAAGGGCAAGGGAAGGAAGAGAAAGGCTACATGAATGGCTATGGCTTATGCATGGAAAATAGATGTGCTAGTTCTAGAATGACAAAGATGGAAAAGACCAGGCCCAACTTATAGCCATGAGCCAGGCCTAACTGGATAACCTAGAGACCCACAGACAAGAAAAATCAATTCATCTTGTGAAACACTGAAATTCTGGGAGCTAGGCAGTACTAATGCAGTGGTAGGTCCCTCATGTAGTATTGAGAACCCAAGTTTTTATACACAAGATGGTATTTCTACCAGCTGCTTGGTTATTGTTTCTTCAATAAACCACTAAAAGTAGTAGTAGGTTGCTCAAGGTATGCTTAGACATAAGCTATCTTATACGTACTTGGGTGCTATCAAATAATATTTTGTCAATAATGTACTATGTAAATGGCAGCAATCCCATAAAATTATGATAGCAGCCAAGATTGGTGCTACATACACTTATCCTCAGTCCCTGAGAGGTTTAGCCAGGTAGATTGTGAGTTTGAGGTCAGCTAGTGCTACAGAGTGAGTTTCAGATTAGACTGCGCTACCTATCATGAAATATAAATAACAACAGCAAACAAATACACAAAAGACCCTTCTAAAACCCACACAATCCTCAAAAAAAAAAAAAAAAAAAAACCCAAAATCTCCAACAAAACAAACAACAATCCCGGGAGGATCACAATGCAGCAGATAAATTCTTACTGCCTACTGCTATTATAGCACAAGACATAATTCACATGTACATAGAAAGCAAATAAATCCCTCTGCCAGTCAGATAAAAGGATAACACAATTATAATTCAACTTTATAATATTTATTGAATGTATTTGTGAGCATATATGTGCATACAAATGAACATACATACATGTATGGACATGGGATGCTTGTGGAAGTCAGAGGACAACTTAGGAAAATCAGTTTTTTCCTTCCATCATAGGGATTCTGAGGACTGAACTCACGTTGTCAGGCCAGCAGCAGCCCCATAATCATAATCTGTGTTTTTATGTCTTGATTGCATAAGTTACTTATGTTTTAGCTTGTGCTTTTTTATTCATTGTGGCCCTAGAACAAGATGCTATATCATATGTATTCAGATATAAATGTATCATGTAGTCTAGTATGTGCTATATTGCAACATCTCAGTTCATGTAAAGCCTACTCTAGGCATTTACAACAGTGCAATCACTAATGGCACACCTCTTAGAACATTACTCATTCCTAAGTAATAATAAGTTTGTCTCTGTGTACACACACACACACACACACACACACACATTATATAAGTTATAATGGTCAATTAATGTTAGTTCCAGCCAAGAAAAATGTCCACAACTGGCCCTAATGTCAAGGTTGTTTTATATACAATGCTCTATTTCTTCATTTTTTTTATTTTTTCTTTTTTCCAGTGCTGGGTTTCACTTTTGAGCCTTGAGCATACTAAACATGCGCTAACTTATGCCCATAGCTGTTGGAAAGGTCCTAATATCCCATTAGCTTTCCATTAGTATCTGAGTCATAAAGTGTCATAGAAACATGGGGCATAAGTAGATGGTTTTATGTGATGGTAATCTGGAGGTACAATAACGCAGTGCAGCTACAGTTGAGGATTATGGCAGCAGTTTAGTAGAGGGGTAAAACACCAAAGAGTGTTCTATCCATAGTCACAAGTATAAGCAAAGGACTAGATGTAGTGAGATAGTTCTGTGGCACTGACCACGCCCATTGGGGGTGGAGCCATGGGCGGAGTGACCTGTGGAAGGAGGTCAGAGGGGGCCAGGAAAGGCTCTCTCTTTCTGGCGTGACTCGGACAGGAGAGGATCTGGTTGAATTTCCTGGTGTTCATCTGTCTAGGTTGTAAGTTATTTCTCCCTGAATAAACATCTATTCAGCCTATTTGTTTGTCCTGATCCTTATTTAACCGCGTTAACTAGAGACCTCAAACCTCTTTGTAAGAATGGGTGAGTAGTCCAATTTGGTCCAGGGTACACAGTGCAAAGTGGCAACAGGTGGTTGGAAAGAAGCTGGGGTCAAATTTTAAGCCCTCTGCACTAGTTCATACATGAAGCTATAATGAGAGGAAGCTGTTGGTCAGTCATGGCCAGAGGAACAATAATGTGACTAGAATTTGATTAACTTGATTGGCATAGGGAGAATGAAGGCCTAAACATAGAAATTAGTTCTGTGAGAACTACACTAATCCTAGTGAGTGATGGCAGTATCAGAACCAGGAGGGCTGAAGCTGGGCTGCAAATCAGGAGAACCTCAGAAAGATTCTGAACAGCACACCTAAAAGTCCAAGACTTGAAACTTAAAATGGTGGGAAAAGGAAGGGGGCAATGTTAGGGTTGAATATATGCCCCCAGAAAGATATGCTGATATCTTAACCCTCTACACTTCAAAATGTGACTGCAGATGTAAATAAATAAGCTAAAGATGAGAAAGTCACATTGGTATAGGGTAAACCTCAAATCCAGTATGACTGGTGTCCATATAGAAGGACAGTCATAGGAAAACTTATCTGTTGGAGAGGTTGGCATGTTATGACAAAGGCATAATTGGTTATCAATTGTCAATCAAGAAACACCAAAAATGGATGGCAAATTGCCAGGAGCTAGGAGGACCTGTGGCGAGAGTCTGGAAGGCTTCAGAGGGTCTGAAGCTTTTCTGGCACATTGGTTTTTTATGATTAGTCTCCACAATCTGGGGATTATACATTCTATTGTGTGGAACCACATAGTTTGTGGGTACTTAGTTAGGTCGTCCCTAAGAAACAAATGCAGGCAAAGGGGCTTTAAGGGTTCTGTTTAATATTTGATAATCTCAAATTACCACAAAACATAAGGCTTCAAGTAATGGGAATGGATTCACATACAGTTTAGGATCCAAGAGTCCATAGTCAAACTGTCTCATATAATCATCAGACTGTTTCAGCTTCAAGAGATGGCACTATTCTCCCAGCCTCTGCTTTGCATGGTGCTCTGCGTGTCTTTGTGATAAGGGTCACAATCACTGGAGTTCGGGTCTATCCTGATGTACTATTGTATTGTTTTAACTAATGCAAACACCCTACTTCCAAATCAGGTCATATTCCAAGATTCTGGATAGATATTATTGCGGGGATTAATAACAGTCAACTTCATGTAATGTTAATAAGCAAAATAAGGAAAGCAGAATAGAACAGAAATTTTAGTTATTTTAAGTGAAGAAATAGGAATCACAGAAAGAAACTAAGTATAAAATTGAACTGTATTTCATGTGCTCATGGGACATCAAGAGAGAGGCTATGCTCAGCCCTAAATGAGACATTCATATCATAACCTATCTTCTTATTGCTCAGAGATGATTGAAGAAGAGGGGATGGAAAGACTGTAAGAATCAGAGGCAGTGGACGACTAAAAGGCAATGGTGGTTTTCAGACAAACTGGAGCGGTTGTACATGTCAATGCACAGTGGTGTGACAGTATGCATAAGACCTGTGCAAGCTCAAGCTAGACCGACTCTCAGCATGGAATGGAGAAGAGGGTACAAAGTCTTACTCCTAGCTGAGGAGCTATTGACTGCTGGCAGCAAGAGAGTCAGTTTTCATTAGGGGTGTGGTCCCTAGTAGGTGAATTGCTCCAGGGAAGGCCACACATCCAAGAGTATATGGGCAATACAGATTTGACTTGATTTTAAAAAAGAAGACACACAGTTGGATGGATAGGGAATTGAGTTAGATCTAGGAGGAGTTGGGTGAAAGGGTGGATATGATGAAAATACAATGTACAAAATTCTCAAAGACCTGATAAAAATTCACACCAAAAAGAAAGATTTTGGTCTCTTAGAAGAGAAAGTGGGAGATACCCTTGAACAAACTGGTACAAGAGACCACTTCCTGAACATAACTCCAATAGCACAAACACTGAGATCGACAGTTAATAATGGGACCTCCTCAAACTTAGAAGCTTCTGTAAGGCAAAGGACATAGTCAATAAAACCAAACCACAACCCACAGACTGGGAAAAGATCTTCATCAATCCTACATCTGACAGAGGGCTGAACTCCAAAATATACAAAGAACTCAAGAAACTAATCATCAAAACACCAAATAATCCTATTTTAAAAAATGAGGTACAGAACTGAAGAAAGAATTCTCAATAGAGGAAATCAAAAAGCCTGAAAGACACTTAAGAAAGTGCTCTACATCCTTATCTATCAGGGAAATGCAAATCAAAACCTCTCTGATATACTATCTTACTCCTGCCAGAATGGCTAAAATCAGAAACACCAATGACAACATATGCTGGAGAGGATGTGGAGAAAGGGGAGCACTCCTCCACTACCAATGAAAGTGCAAATTTAGACAGCCATTTTGGAGATGAATATAGAGGTTGTTTAGGAAAATGGGAATTAGTTTACCACAGGACCTGGCAATCCCACTCTTAGGCATATACCCAAAAGAT